TTAGGCAACCCTCTTACTAGGTCTCCTTGAATTAACCGTTGCAAAACACTCATACTAGCATGTCCTAGTTTCCTATGCCATAACCAACTATCATGTTCATCCTTAGCAACTAGGCATAAATTAGTCATATCAAAAGAATCTAAATGCACCATGTATATGTTCCCTATTCTATGACCAACAAGCATAATCCGATTAGATGCAATGTCAATGACTTTACAACCATTAATTTCAAATAAGACATTGAATCCTTTATCGCATAATTGACTAATACTCAATAGATTATGCTTTAATCCATTCACATATAAAATATTTTTAATTTGTATGGAAGAGGTATTACCTATTGTACCAATACCTTCAATGTGACCTTTTGAATTGTCTCCAAAAGTCACTTCTCCTCCATTTTTGGCGTTAAGCTCAATGAACCTGCTTTTGTCTCCGGTCATGTGTCTTGAGCATCCACTATCAAGGTACCATGAATTTGAATTTGTTTCCCATGCCTTGTAGCAATGCTCCTTTCCCTACAAACATAGATTAATTTTTGATTTTTGGTACCCAAATTCTTTTGGGTCCATATTCATTAGTTTCCAAAATCCTAGTCCCCTTAGGTATCCATTTGTGTAGGATATTTTTATCTTTAGTAGTAACGAGTTCTTTAGGAACCCACATACTTGTAACGATTTTTCCATTAGAGGTTCTTTGGGGACCTCTATGATTGTAGTTTCTAAAACTTTTTCTATCAAACTTGGATTTTGAATTTTCACCTTTTTCAAAATGTTTTGTTCCAACTTTATCAAAAGAAGTTTTAAGATCATCAATTTTCTTTTGATGATCATCATTGATCTTTGAAAGTAAATTTTGCAAATCTAAATTTTTCTTTTCAAACTCTTCTAGTTTGATTTGCAAATCTTTGATTTTACTTTCAAGATCGTTGTTGGTTTTGGATATGAGTTTGTTTTCATTTTTCAATTTTGAAACATCATTTTTATATTTTAAAAATAATTTCTCATAATCCGAAGCCAACCCATTATATTCCTCTAATAACTCATCATAGGATAAATCATCAAAATCGGATGAGTTAGAGGTTACCTTAGAATCTTCCCCAAATGCCATCAAGCACAAGTTAGCTACTTCTTGTTCCTCTTCATCGGAACTTTCTTCATCGCTCCATGTAGCCACATGAGCCTTGTGCTTATTCTTTGATTGACCCTTTTTCTTCAATTGTGGGCAATCATATTTAACATGCCCTGGCTTTTTGCATTCGTAGCAAATGATTGGGTCCTTCTCTTTCGGTTCATTTTTAAGGCCTTCATTTCGTTTGAATTTTCTTCCTCGATAAGGTCTCATCATTTTTCTGAACCGTTTGGCAAACAATGTCATTTCCTCGTCATCGTCATCGTTATTCGAATCACTCTCATCTTTTGTGGATTTGAGAGCAACTCCAATGTTTTTCTTCTTCTCCTTCTCCTTTGGTGTCTCGTTAATCTTGTCGAGGTCCACCTCATCTTCGAGCATCATTTCATGAGTGAGAAGTGACCTAATTAGCTCTTCAAGAGTTAAGGACGTTAAGTCCTTAGACTTGATGATTGCCGTCTTCTTTGATTGCCATGATTTTGGGAGGGAGTAGACTAACTTCCTCACAAGCTTTTCATTTGAAATGATCTCTCCATATGATTTGAGACCATTGACAATCGTTGAAAATCTATCCGTCATAACTTTGATATCTTCATTTGGTTTCATCCTGAAATTTTCATAGCTATGCGTTAGAATACTAATTTTAGATTTCTTTACCTCATCGGTACCTTCATGAGTGACTTGAAGTTTGTCCCATATTTCTTTGGCGGTTGTACACGATGAAACTCTTCCGTATTCATCTGGTCCAAGAGCACAAAAAATGATATGGATGGCTTTGGAGTTGAGCTGGAACATTCTTGTCTCTCCTTCACTCCACAACTTTGGATGAGTGAGAGGTTTGATATATCTTTCTTCTACAGCATTCCATGCTCCCATGTCACTTGCTTGAATAAAGTACATCATTCTATTCTTCCAATAGGCATAGTTAGCTCCATTGAAGAAAGGAGGCTTGTTGACGGGCATCGAGTCGAGACCGGAGTTGAAGTTTGAAGCAGAGGCCATTGATGACTTTGATTATCGATATAACTCTTCTCGAATCGACTCAAGAGGTGATTAAACCTTCAAATGAGTTAGGCTCTGATGCCAATTGTTGAGTTAATCGATTGACGAATATGGCCAAGAGGGGGGTGAATTGGCAATTAAAAATTTGGTTGAAGCTTTTGTAAAAAATTGAAAGAAATTGCACAGCGATTTAGAGTGGTTCGACTTTATCAACCAAAGTCTACGTCCACTACCTTAGCTATCCACACTAAGGATTTTCCAACAAATTCACTAATTTGTTCTTTCTTTTGAGGCCAAAGAGATAACCTTACAACTCCCTCAAGAATATACCCCAATTCTTGAGAACACTCTTTTCTTAAAGAGAAATACAAATTTGCAAACTTACAAGAAAAACCTCACAAGGCAAATATGTTTGCACAATTCTAGAACAAAGAAAGAACACTCAAGAATAAATACAATTGAGCACAATAAGTGTTCTTAAAAGCAAAATGAACATTGAATGAAAAATAGGCTTGAAATGCTCAAACTTGAGGTTTGATGCTTTCTCTTTGATTCTCTCTTGATTCTAATTGCTTGATGTTTCTTGTTTTTGATCAATGGCTTCTAAGCTTGCTTAAATACACCTTGAATCACTTCTGAACGTTGGAGATAATTAGAGAAAATAATATAGCCGTTTTAGTGTGAAAACAATTAATAAAACAGTTTGGAGCGTGGAGGGAATCGGTACCCCCTATGGGGAATCGGTTCCCTAAGTGTAAAATTCAAATATTTTAACCGTTATACAAGGGGGAATCGGTACTCCCTTGGGGGGAATCGGTTCCCTCCGAGCATACTGGAATTCTTGGAGCCAAACCATTCAGGGGGGAATCGGTACCCCCTTGGGGGGAATCGGTTCCCTCTGAGCAATCTGGAATTTTTGGCTTTGAAATGGTTCGAAATACTTTGTAAAATTATTTTGAAATTGTTTTAAGATTAAAACTTAATTTTACACTTTGAGTAAAGATTAAAAATGATCTTTGAAAGATTTGGAGTAATGTTTTGATATTCGAATAATTCTATCGAATATACTTAGAAAATCATTTGGAAAATCTTAAAATTCATTTAACTTAATTTGTTATATCGAAATATCAAAATGTTTTCAACATGATTGTTGTTCACTAATTAATGATATTGGCACTATATGTGTACCGTAGGTTCACAATGTTGTGACATTGTGAAATCCATATCGGATTACTAGTACAGTGATGTTGTGTTTTACAATATGAGTACATTACTGATACTAAAAGTGCAAACTGTTACTAATAATAAAACTACAAATAGTGTGTACACTCGTTTATTGACTCGCTTACCATATATTCTCTTGATGATATAGTGGGCAATAATACAAATTGAAATAGAGTAGTACATAATTGATATGACACAATATTGTTGATTGTCAGACTATTTAAGTAAACTTTTTATTACGAGTTTTGAACTGACAGATAAATTTATAACTGCCAGTATATGCAAATAATGTTATTGATCGCAATTAGATTTATACAAGTTTAATTTTAATAATATTTTTTTATATGATATCACTTGTTCCACATGTTAAAAGTTTTATTTTATTTTATTATATTGCCTCACTAAGTAGAAAACTTAGCGTGTGATTGTTTTACACGTAGGTAAAGGGAAGTCAACAGGGGAGTAAGGAGTCAGGCCAGACATCCCATATTTTGAAATCTAGTTCAGATAATCAGAATCAGTATGACATCTTTCTAATATTTTTGATATTTCTTAGTTGGCATGTACACATTTATATTTTTGATGCTCTGATTTGATATGCCTAAAATGTTTTTTGATTTAAACTATACATGCTAGTTTATTAAATGAACATTATTATATATGAATAATATTTTATTAAATCGTATTTTATTTTAGTTTAAATGATTATTAAATTAACTAGTTATTTTTATTATTTTAATTATATTAGTTGACTTTTAAAAGAAACAAATTTTCCGATTTTTTAGCAGTATTTGTTTTGTATGATTGATGTGACATTTATAACTTGTATATGAGTACGTATAGTAGTTAAGGGTGTTACAGTAACAATATTCGTTTTATCTACAACTGCAATTTAAGTCCCTTATGCTCACTATTTCATATGTGCGAGTAAAGCTTAGGATAACTTGAAACAATTTTCATTTGAACTATTTCATCATGTTACTTTCATGAAATTGCAACAGATAGCTAAAAGGACGGTGATTCTGTGTGGATGGGTTCCTGATGGTAGTCCTGTTGATTTGTCTATTTATGACCCTACAAAATATAATACAGGTGTTGACTGATTAAGTGATCGATAACCGTAGAAGGTGGTAGATGGATAATTCCGGTGCTGTAGTTTTGATGGTATTGATCTGGTTTGGTGGTGAAGTGTTCCCGTCCCCTTGTTCTCTCCTGCATCACTATTTATAATGTCTTGGATAGGTGTTCATCAGAAGTTATCGTGACATTAATATTGATTGGATGTTCTAGGGAGTGATTGCTTAAATTAGGAGACCACATGTATCAGCACTTGATCGGTGGCAATCATACACGGGATACTTCACAGAGAGAGTAGGTGATTGACATACGATCACTATTAGTGGTCCGCAGGACACGATCCGCATATATGAAGGTTCACATAAATCTTATGTTCGCATGTCTGGTTTTAGGGGTTAAAGGTTCGCAGGTAGTAATAACAGCATAGGTATAAAATGTTTTCACTATAGATTTTACTTGTTCATGTCATCAAGTTTATCATGTATTCTGTGAAAAGATTGAAGATACTTTTATTCAACAGAATTTCTGATTTCACTTGAGCATTTATCTCTTTGTTGCCTGCATGGTTGCAACTGAGCCTGCAATAGAGCCGGCTTTTCAAGAAACTTTGTACATAAAAAAGAAATTAATGGACAATATTAGCCTGAAAAGAAGAAGAAAAAAAATTACAGAAGCCCTATAACAGGTGAGTTGCTAAAGATTGGACCCTCTTTGCTAAAATGGTGACCCCCATTTTCACATACACTTTTCCTCCTTGGCTTTGCCTCACCGAGCATTGTAATGATGTCTCTCATGGAGGGTCTGTCCTTGGGGAGCTTTGCAGTACAAAGAAGTGCAATCCTTAGGACCAGTTGCATCTCTTCTTGGACATGCTTGCATTGGCCGGCTATGGTCGGATCTAGTACTTCTTCCAGCCCTCGGTTTTTCTTAATTTTCGTTCTAGTCCACCCGACTATATCGACCGATTCTCCAAAAGAAGGATCTAATGGTGTTTTCCCCGATAAAAGCTCTAACAGAACGACACCGAAACTATATATGTCGATCTTTTCGTCAACCTTCAGAGTGTACCCATATTCTGTCATGAAACAGGTTTGAACAAAACATTAGTAAATGGTTTCTTGTGAAAGAAGACAGAAATCTGATGTACAAAATCACAGATGGTAAACATACCAGGAGCAATGTATCCATATGATCCTGCTACCATTGAAACGGTTTCGTTCTTATGAACCATCATCCTTGCTAGCCCGAAATCTGCAATTCTTGCCTCGAGATTCGAATCTAGAAGAATGTTGTTCGACTTGATATCTCGGTGAATGACAGGGGGATGGCAGTCATGGTGTAGGTAATTCAGCCCTTGTGCAACACCAACTGCTATGTTATACCTTGAAACCCAGTCCACCAACAGCTTCCCTCCTTGTTTACCATGCAGAGCTGTCCCAAGATTTCCCTTCGGCATGTACTCATATACCATCAATACATTGGCTTCATTGTGAACATACCCCAATAATCTTACAATGTTTCGGTGCCGGAGTCTTCCGAGGAGACTCACTTCGCCAAATAGGTCGTCGCTGCTTTCAATGTCGGTCTCCGATCTCCATAGCTTCTTAACTGCAACTACTGCTCGAGGACGATGGATTTCAGCCTTGTAAACGATGCCAGTTCCTCCCATGCCGATGATGTTTGATTCCTTTATGCAGGCGAGTATGTCATTACTTGTAAAACTTAAACGTTGAAATGCAACTAGTCTCCAAGGCCATTCTTTGTTACTTGTTTTGAAGAAGTCACCGAAGAAGCTGTTATACAAGTACCATCTTCGATATGCCCATCGTCCGGCAAAAAATAGTATGCCAAGAGATAATATTACCACTGTTCCGACGATAAATCCGGCAGCAACATGTTTGATGTGCATTTTCCTTGGCTTCTCTGCTGCTTTCATTGGACTCGAAGAAGAGCACGGTGGGAGTATGCCGCCACAAAGACCAGCATTGCCTGCAAGGTCCTCAGGATTTATGGTCATAAACAATCCATTAGATGGGAGCAGACCTTCAAGCTTATTGTACGACAGGTTCAGCATTTCAAGGGCCGGTGAGGTGCCGAAATTCGCAGGTATCGAGCCGACTAAGGAATTTTTGGACAAGTCAAGCATGGCTAATGTAGGCATTGTTGCAAGTGCTTTTGGGATTTCTTCAGTGAACTGATTGTTTCTGAGGTTTAGACTTACCAGCTTTTCACAAGAAGCTATATTCTCTGGAATTTCTCCAGAGAAACGGTTGCTCGAAAGATCGAGAACAGACATTAATGGGAGGTCTTGAAACTGATCAGGAATTTTCCCTGATAAGTCGTTGTGGGAGACGATGAATGTTTGTAGATTAGGCATGGAAAAAATGTGGGAAGGAAGGGTTGATTCAAGGTGGTTCCAAGAAACATCAATGAAAGAAAGAGATGTTGACAAAGCTACATCGACTGGAATTTGGCCTGTAAGATTGTTTTTTGCCAATTCCAGACGCTGAAGTACAGGGAGATTTCCGAAACCTATCGGAATGGTCCGGAAATCAGATTGTTCTGCACTCGAACACGAACTAGTGACATACATGTCGAGAGACCTACAGGGATTGGACCCGAAAACGAGTTGTTGAAGAGGATAAGTTTGGTGAGGTTACCTGAATCACATAAACCTGGAGGAATCACACCTGATAATGAATTTGATGACACATCTAACCACTGTAAAGGCGAGTTTTGACCGAGATTCATCGGCAAAGAACCTGTCAATGAATTTTTCCATAGCTCAAGTGCCTGTAGTTTGGTCAATTCCCCAAGCTTAGCAGGTACTGAACCATTCAAATGATTTCGCATCAAATTCAACAGCTGCAGATTCTTCAACTCAGCTAGCTCTACAGGTATCTCTCCTGAAATCTGGTTATCCGAAAGATCCAAGAACACCATTGAAGTAACATTTCCAAGCTCTGGTGGTATCCTTCCTGTGAAATTATTTTTATACAAAAAAACTGTGGTTAGCTGTTTAAGCATACCCAATGATGGTGGAATTTGACCACTGAGAGTGCCAACAGCCAGATCAAGATACTTAAGATTGGTGAGGTTTCCGAATTCTCCCGGTATTTCTCCTACGAACGAATTGTAACCGAGAATGATCGTTTCCAAGGCCGAAAGTTTTCCGAGATCTCTCGGAAGCTTTCCTGTAAAATTGTTGCCTGAAAGGCCAAGAAACTTCAGTTTCTGCAGATTCTTAAAAGATGTAGGTATCGTGCCCTCCAAGAAGCTCCCTCTGAAGTCCAAGGTTTCGAGTGAAGTCGCATTGCCGAGATCGTCGGGAAGAAACCCGGAGAAATTGTTGCTTGACGCATTGACATAATTCAATCCTGAAGCCATCCCAAGACCTGTAGGAAAGCCGCCAATGAAGTGTTCTGACTCACATCGAGGCTCGTCAGTGAAGTGAGATTGGCGAATGACTCCGGCAACCATGTATCGAAACTGTTGTTGCAAAGGTTGAGGACCGAGAGACCGCGCAAACCTCGAATATGATCCGACACAATGCCACTGAGATTCATATTGGAAAGATCAAGTTTCTCAACAAAGCCTCTGGAGTTGCACCAAACTCCAGTCCAGTTACAATGAGCCAATCCGGTTCCACCGACGTCACTCGCCGTTTTCCAATCTCCGAGCTTCTTCAACGGATCGATCAAACTACTTTTCATCAACTGCAAGGTAGATTCTTCATCATTTGAACTGGAAACCCATCAGCCCCACCAGCAGAAACCAGAAAGAGACCAATGGAACAGTAGAAGAACAACAGACAAGATATGGGTTTCATCGTGTTCTTATTTTTCTTCTGTTCTAAGTTTTGATCCAACTAAAAGCTTTTCATTTATGGCTATGGTGGAACAAAGGAGCTAGAGAGTGACCAAGAAAGTTAATATATATGACATAAGAGAATAATTAAGCTTGTAATTAGCTAGTATTATCAGTTCGTGGGTTCTTGGGATTGACACCAGCTAATTATCTGCAATTAATGACTGTACAGCTTTGACTTATTACAAATCTCCTAGACATTAAAACATGGATGGAATGTGTTTCCAGAATTTGTTCATTATGTTATCTTCTTCAATCATTTATCATAGTAAGTCAACCAAATGCAGTAGAAATTCGAAACTATTTGTTACTCCGATTCTTACTTTTTTATAAAATATTTGTATCTGATATATATGTTCAATACATATTTAAATATAAAAAATATAAGGTAAATTATTTCAGATACCATTAATTTTAAGCGGTGTATCGTATATATTATTAACTTTTTAATTTCTCCAATTATAACACTGAACTTTAGTTTTAACTTCAATTATATCACCAAGCTGCTAAAGTCCAAATGGTGTATGGAAATGGACAAAACAACACTATTTTGGTACAACTATTGAAGCCTAAAACGATATCGTTTTATTCACTAAACTTTAGGGATGAATCGTTTTTACTACCAAACTTTTAAACAGCTCTGTTAAATTTTTTCAAAAAAGTACAATGTCAAAAATGGGTATGTTTAAAAGTTTAGTGGTAAAATTGATAGATCATGACATCATTTTGGATATCAATAGTCGTTGTCAAAACAACGTTTTTTGTCCATTACAGCGATGGAAGTATCTATCTACATCATGTCATTAAAATTTAACAGTGTATAATTAAAGTTAAAACCAAAATTTAATATTATAATTAAAGAAACCAAGAGTTCAATAATAGTTCAATAATATAAACGTCAAATTCAATATTATATTATATAGTTTACCTACAAATTTAAAAACTAAACATACTCTAATCAGACATATACTCATATTCAACATTAATCTCATATTTTACTAAAAAAAACATTCATCTCATATTTTGTAAAATAACTGATTAAATAGCAATTATGGTAATCAAATGATGCATTTTACATAGTTGAATTCATTTCTTTTAATTTCTAAACATTGGTTTTGCTATAAAATATATAGAAATATGTACTTTTTGGCTTCTTAACAAAGCAACATCTCACATAATCATTATCATCATTATGCCATAATCAGAACAGTTTAATAATATAAAGTAAAGGTTATACAAATTATTTTTTTCCTTACAAGGTAGAGAATAATTTTAACTGAGTTGTCCGTTTGCCGATAGATTCCTTGAAAGCTATCATCTTCATTAATCTAGGAAAATTGTTAATAGTATTTGAGTATATTGGTCTTTCTTGGATAGATTTGATAATTTTGAATAAAACAATAATATAATGAATTTAATAAACATGAAAATAATGTAATAAATTTAATCTGGGACGAACTTCTCGTAAGATTTTATGTTAGATGTGAACTTATAAAATTTTAGGAGGAAAATATATATTATATGAATAGAGAATACAAAGAAAATATTTCAATTATATGAAAATCTAAAACTTTCAGGAGATGACTGCCCCTAACCGGTTCCCCGATGCATCTCTGAATTCAACTAAATATAATTGAAAACTTGACACATATAGTTGCTGTTTTAGACTCAATATAATAGTTACTGGTATTGAACAAATGTGAAAAAACTATAAGAATTTACAAAAATTAAGATAGATTAATCATAACAACCGATAATTTCTCCTAAAATCATCAAGGTATACAAACTAGTCACTAAAGAGTAAAATATGATCATAAAAAGAAAGAGTTAAAAATTCAACCAACCAACTCAAAGAAAAATGATAGATACAAACAAATATCATTATCGACAATAAAAGTTAAACATCATTAACTAATATAAAAATGCATACGACAATGATAGTACATTGACATATTGATTTTATCTCAGCTCAATCGCAAACTATCCTTGATGATTGCGAGCAACTCTTCATGTCTTAAGAAATAAACGTTAATTGTAAAATGACATTAAATCTAATCCTAAAATATTATAAAAACATAGAAAACATGAACAATACCAAGGATATATCCAAGATCTTTTTTGTCCGAATACATGAATTTGGATAGCAAAAATCAAAGCATCTCTTGATGTTCATGTTATAGAGTTCAACCATTTTGATCTCCCATGGATGAACTATCCGTCCATTTCTCGCCCACCAAACACTATTCCTTCTTTTAAAAAAATTATATTCACTCATTTCTTGATATCCAAGCACATGCACCCATCTGGCTTCTAGCAATTATTATAATTATCTTTCTAAAAAAATGATAAGAATCCAATATGAATACTTAGAGATAATACATGAAAGGGTAATAATGCAAGGCATAAGTGAAGGTGGAGAAGGCTGGAGACCATGTGCAAAGGGCCAATTTCCTTTAAAAAAATGCACTCAAATTATGTCCTCATTATTTGGTAGGGACATTCCTCATATTGACATTCATGGAAACTGCCTATGCATGATTATATATATTACAAATAATAATGGATGAACCAATTTGGGGTTTTAAAGATTATGCGGTTCACATGGATTTATGCCAAACCCACCATTTTCATCAATCATTTCATCACTAAGTGAAGATACTTTAGTTGTATGAAAGATTATTTAATAGTTTTTTTCTTGCTGCTTATATCAAATTTATCCATCTAAATTTAATATTTCCATGTACTTAACTTCTATGAATTATTTGCTCGAACCAACTTACCTCAGTAATAAAAGAAATCATTAATGTTCTTCGAGATCGTGGATTCGAGCACCAGTGACTGCAAGGGTGATTAAACGTTTATTATCAAATGATTGAGAGCATTTAGAACAAATATTACTTTACAATCACCTTAATTAGCTTAATAAAAAAATGTATGAATTATTTAAATAATATTAGATGAGAGATTGGGTTTTCAGGGCAAGTGCCTTTGTAGTGGGTCTGTATGTTACAGTATTGGGGGCTAGTAATAGGCCTTTGAGATTGTTAACGAGGGTCTCTTTTGATAATTCCTAATTTATTTTACGATTTTTTTCAATTTTCAATGTTTGGTTGGTGTAAATTATTTTTAAATGTAATTTAATTTTACATCTTGAGTTAATTGCATCAAATATCCTTAAAGTATGATCCTTATTTTAAATTGGTCCCTAAACTTTTAAATGTTCCAATTTCATCTCTAAATTATGATTATCATTCTAAATTAGTCCTCAAAATTTTGAATATTTTAATTTCATCCCCAAACTATTACCTTCATTACAAATTGATCCCCAAACTTTTTGAAAATTCCAAGTTCATCTCAAACTATACGTATATACTAATCACATCCCTTGTTAATAAAATCATTAGGCCAATTTATATTATTATATGTTTGAAAAAAATAAAATTTAGGTTAAACTATAGTTGAACTAATTACATATTTAGATGGAATTGGAATATTTAAAAGTTTGAAGACCAATTTAGAAAGAGTGTCATAGTTTAGGGATAAAATTAGAATGTTCAAAACTTTAAGGTCTAATTTAGAATGAGAGTCATAGTTTAGGGATGGAATTAGAATATTCAAAAGTTGAAGGACTAATTTAAAATGAGAGTTATAGTTTGAGGACATATGATGCAATTAACTCTTACATTTTTGTAAAATATTTTTTGAACTTCTTACTCCAAAACATAAACACACAAAATAATGTTATTTCATGTATTTAATATTAATATAACATTTTAGCGAAATTTTAATAAAAATAAAAATATTTTTCACTTCAAAACATAAACACTTATATAAACTCAATTTTGACTACACTCACCTAAACAGAGCTTACTATATGCCTTAGCTTACTATATATAAACACATTTTAGTAAGGAAATTTGTGTTTCCACTTATTTACTCATATCATAATAATAAAATAAACTTTAGAATAAGGATTAATGACACATATACGACATTTATTCACTAATTCTATTATCCCATTAAAAGGAATATTTGTCATGCAAAATTCATATATTTTCATTTTTTTAATATAGTCCCTAAACTTCTTATTACCACTTTTCAGTTTCTAAATGATTCCCAAATCGAATCATATTTGAATCAAACTAATTTAACCTTTTAGACTCATATTCAAAGATTCAAAGTCAATCGATAAATCATAAAAAAATATTTTGATAGTTAGATTCGAAGAATCTATGATTTGGGATTTTAAGATGTTGCACCCCAATAATTTTTAGGTTGCTTGATGTAAATAAATGTATTTTCGAATCTAGGAAAATAATTAAGATCTTGATCTAGAAGTAACATATTTAAATGTCATTGGTGTGTTTGTGTATCTTTTTAGTCATGTGACGTGTCAAATCATTTGTCGTCAACATATTAACAATACCTAGTTATTGTCAAACTGAAAGACACATGAATAATGTTAACACATGTTTCGTTATCTTTAAAGTACAAAGACATGATATTATTTTTCTCTAATTTATCTAAATCAAATTTAGTTGGTTTTTTAGAGGCAAGGTACTTATCTTATACTCGTAAGGCTCGATCATAAACAAATTATATTTTCACGTATAGTGGTACTACAATCTTTTGGTGCTCTATTAAACAAACGCCAATTTTTTAATTTTTTAATCATGTTAAACTTTTGATTATCCATAAAACTAATCGTGAACGTATGTGGTTGAGTTGAGATTTGCAATTTATCAAAGGTTGTATTTTATGTTTCATATGAAGATAACACAATCTACAAAGCGTAACTTAAAGAATGGTACATAAATGATAATGGAACAAAATATATCTTGCCAAAATAATTCTCCACTCATGATTTATAAAATAGTGAAGATATTGA